GATTTGTAATCGTTAATAAGTCCTGTGTATGTATATTGAATCATGTAAATTTCACCAACAGTGAGTCTTTGCTTTGGTCTCACTATCTAAAAGAAAATCATAAGTGGGCAGAACTTACAGCACAACATACCGTCATCAACAAATGCCTCTTAACGAGGGATTCTTCAAATAATCAAAAATTTCTAATGAAATTTGCACCAATTTTCTTTAACGCTATGTTGGTGCTGTTTGCATGTTGCGTTTGATTTCTTTGATCAGTTATTCGCATTTCGATATCAATTCATTGGCTCTACAGCTTCACATTCATCATTTGTACATAGCCATAAGTTTCTCGATTTGTTACTGCTTTCAACATTGAAATTCATCATTTGTACCACTTGCATTCAAATATACTTTCGCTTATCACGATAAAATGTTCACGGCAAAATGAGCAAGTCAAGTTGATGTTCGGTGCTGTGCTGGTACTCAATGAATTTCAGCTAAAGCCGAATGATGCTCGCTAAAACATCAGTTTAGTCTTCGTTATGAGTTTTTTGCTGATACGATTGAGCAGTATTGCTTTTGATATCCACGCTTTTACGTAGACATTAACACTTTCGAACTCTTAAATGATCATCTCATATGAACTAAAATTCTCCTCACCACATGATGAAGTGTTTTGTTCTCTTCATGCGGCATTTTATCCTCAATAGTAAGACCATCCTTGTCCATCAACTTTATATGCTGATATTCCAAATTGAAACTATGAAGAGTAATCACATCTGTATTATTCACCACTTGGAAAATGAGCGTTTGAATCCCATCAAACGTCATATTCCTGTCTGTAAACACCATTTGTTACAAATGTTCGAAATTTTCTCCAACTATCAAAACTCTGCTCTGATTGATAACTGTTCATGAAATCAATGCATGAAAATGACGATAAAATCATGAAATTAGACACTGACACCATGAAATATCAGATGCCAACAATCAATCTGCTATTACATGGAACAGTTAGGAAAAGACTCAAACGAATTCCGACTTGGTGGTGATAGTTGCATCGAATGGTATTGTCTTGAATGACTTCAATTAACCTATCCTTCCATGCTCATTGCGTATCGTTTCGGTACGTTAAAATCCTTTTTTTGGAGATGATTATTCTGGACAATGCTTTCCGTGATTCGTTGCTTACGGATATGCATTTTCAACCTATGAATGACTGCAGCTAGGCTAGTATATTTACAAATATCAGCTGAAGCACGAATGAAGTGTGCATATTTCATCACACTTTCTAACAACGATTTAAAGCACTTACGAGGTTNAAGTATGGTCGGATTCGTACATAATAATGCAGTGGTGTTATCACATGCGGTATTCGTCGCATTCGTTCATTCTTCGTTCCGGGCAAATCTGCTAACACCCGTGCTTTCGAGCGTTCATGCAGTTGCACATCGGCCAATTGTAACTCTGATGGATCATCTTAAAACGAGTCAGTTGATCAACAATTTGATAGCAGCGGATGATCTCAAGAGTGATTTATACTCTTCCAGTTGAAATTACTGTGAGAATTCGCCTAAAGTTGTTTAAATGAATATAATTACTGTAGGAATACAATGAAGAGTCTCTTCGTCATATTCGTGATTGTTCTGATTATAATTGTTATTTTTTAACTGACGAATGGAGTCTTTAAATGCAGAAAAAAAACTCACATCTGCTTTCGAGTGGAGTATAGAGTGAACTGAGTACGATTGGTACAGCCGAGATGAGCAACAGCCAAAGTGAGGATGACATTGAAAGCGTATTGGTGCGTTTCAGGACAGTGCTTCTTGTTTGACGCTAGTTACTTGCCTCGTTCAGTCAACCAAACTGCCAATGAGTTCGACCGTGCAATGATGACCAATTTAAGGTTTGTTTGCTTGAAGAAGATGCTCTTTGTTCATGTCAACAGCGATTTANNGTTAAAGTTACAGTTGCATGTCATTTCAATGCTAAATTCGATTTTTTTGCAGACTGTTATGAAACCCAAAACCAAACATCAGTGATCAACGATGAGAATTTACAGTCAGTCATCTGTGATGTGTGAGTGCTGTCATCGATTCCTATGAACATGCAATGAAATATTTCTGTCTCATTACGGAATCATATCGCTTAACTGCCAATCAATGCACCTCGACCAGTTATCTGGTATTGCATGCTAGCGTTTTACTGGCTTCTTGAAACTGAATACTCGATGAGCAAGTTGGCTAGTCAGAGCTGGACTGATCAGTAAAATGACATGTGTAATCCATTCGAAGAGATCTTCACTGGTAACGAGCCGATTTTTCCAGCGATTAATTTCATCTTTCAATTAGACTGCAAAAAAAAACTCCATACCGAGAACAGTGTACTCATATTCGCCATCGATATCACGCCCAGAGGGAGTGAACAGCAAGGAGCCCTCAAGAAAAGATTCATCACTAGAGCAATTCGGCCCTCAAGCAACTAGCTGCTGCATGAATATTATGTCGAGCCCGCAAAAAATTTCTGTCACATTCTTGAGCATTTATTTGTTTAATGCTGAACATATCTGAGACAGACGAATTCAGTTCGTTTCCTCTGAAACTCATCAATTTATTGTTTCACATTCCACAGCATCATTATTTTTTCGGAGATTTTTTTCTCATTTTAGATACTACAAGTAACATGTGAACAAATTGGGATGGATTATGCAAGTGTGCTTCATCTGACAATGTTTCCGAGCAGATAACATAATTTTGCGAAATAACCAAAGATACTTTCAAAACAAATGGCCATGAGTGAAACTAATAAGCTAGCTGATAATTTTGATTACAGTTCATTCGTTTATTTTAGGAAAATTAAAAAGGCAATGGAATGATCATGATCTGTTTGCGATAGAAAGAAAATTATTTTGTCAGTTTAACGATTAAGCAAGCATTTGTTCATGTAGTTTGTGATGCTTTAATGCAATCTAGTAAGCACTGAGTGCAGATATGGATAGTACTACCGATAAAGCCGACATAACAAATTGTCGTGTCGTAAATAAAAAGTAATGACCATAAAATTCTTTCAAATGCATTTAAGAAAAATGTTTGTGAACGAGACGAAATGATAACGAGCGATACCGAGGACGTCTCTGAATGCAATCGAAGATTGTCGATTATTCGTCCATAGAAAACTTTAAACTCCGATCAAACGAGAAGTGAGGATGTAATTTGTTTCTGCTATTCCTATGTGTGCGAAATGGCAAATGCATTGCAACACCGATTTCAATAAGTCGAAGTGATTATCATTTCTTTACTCAGTTTGCATTGTCGAAACATATATTCCATTTGCTGCAATCTGCTAGATCAAAAAGCGTTCATTATATCGTTCTTTCCATTCATCCGGCCGAATGATAGCTATTTATCTAAGAGATTTGCTTTCTTGATTCTTGATTTATCCTGTGCCGTAACAGTTTCTCAAGTTTATCACTCTCTTACGAAACTCTTGTGCTATGTGCCACTCATTTGCTATCTTGAATGTGTTTAGTCGTTTCTTTTTCTTTCACATCAATCAAATCAATCAGTAATAAAACCAAAAAAGTGCTCTTTGATTGTGTACACAAATATGCGAAGAAGCAATCGTTAAAGCGAGCAATAAAATCCCCAATGTGTGTTTACCTTTGGAAGTTTAATTTTAATTTGAGCACGTCTCAACCGTGTCAGCACTACCCTAAAGCATGCCATTAAGTTCAACTGAAACGCGTTGAAGAATCGTTCGATAGTTTATCAATGATCTTTTGTGTTGTAATCAGGCACAAAATGAAAGTCCCACAAATAGGGCTTTGATTATCAGCACATCACAAGTTTGCTTGATCTGCGGAATATTTTTAGATGCATTGCTCCAGATGTCGACAAAGTCTTACAAGATTCTTCTTCACAATTACACGTTACGTTATGACAATTATGTGGAGTCTTAGCACACAATGAGCTACAGCCAAGAATTCAGATGAATTAAATGTGGAACATATTCATGTTAAGATGGTATCTTTTACAGTGTTTTCTTGGTTTGTTC